GATTATTTGACACATTTTGGAGTTTTTGGAGCTTTGGAGGACAAGTCTTGGAAGTGCAGTGAAAGTTGAGAAGGGTTTTGTAGGAAATGCCGAAATGTATTGGGGTGTTTTCTGAAATTTATCCCATATAAAAGGCGGACCACTTTATACTATGCACGGATATCAGCAAATATACAGAAAGAAATACACAAACATTATCCAGAATGAAAATACCTGTATGATACCCTTCACACGCCAAGCCTTATGCTTTAGAACGACAATCTGTGGATCATCAGGATGCAAAGATTGCAATTCCTCACGCACAGACTCATTGCTTGCATTGTGTTCTGTTGACATCTGAACTGCTGAAACTTCTCGCTCACCTCTCAACCATCTGCCCAAAACTGCACGAGAATCTCCTGCATTTGCAACATAAAGCATCCCGCCACAAATTACACCAACCAAACAGCAAGAACCAACCGATGCAAGCTGTGGCGTATTTTCCCATTGCTTTCTTACAACAGAGATGAAGCCTTCTTCTGTGGCTGCATACGCTCTTTTTATAACATCTACAGACATGCCTTGTTGCTCTGAAGCAAATTCTGCATATCATAAATATCCATTTCATCATGAGAGGACACTTGAACGGTGAACACAAACTAATTTCAGACTACAGATTCAAATTGAATAGTATGCAAGGAAAAAAAAAGTATTTCTAAAGCATATCTAATTAAAGACTAAATTTCACCCGTAATTGGTAAAGGACCAAATTCTTGAGGGTGTAGTTTCATGCTGATCCGGGAATATTTTTGAGCTCAAATCAGCGGTCACAACACGACTTGAAAATAAACTGTGATAAGCAATATGAGTATTATTTTATGTTGAATATTTAGAAGGTCGGCTCTTGACCTTAAGAGCTTCATCATCAATACCTGGGAATTTTTAATTCCAACGCTCAACAAAATAGATCTAATGAAGTTGTAAGATTGTGATGTTTAAGTAACGTCTTAAATCTCGGTATAGGTTTTGCTTCTTCTTAGACTTTATTAGCATTGGGTATCAAAATTTTCAGTTGTCTTGGTAGTTTTGGACCATAATTATCATTACATAGATTGATATTGGACAATGAGTTAAGAGATATGAGATCTGGATATCTGTAAGGAAGAGATCAGCTGATCCCCTTTTACTTTTTTGAATTTCTTCTTGCATGCTCTAGATATATCATTAAAACTTTGTAATGCATCAAATTTTTAAAATTTGATATCCAGTATCACAATTGACTTTCGTTCAACAATAAACAAAGAACAAAAACTTAATTCATAGCAAATAATTTCTAATAGCCCCTCAAAATATTGCACATTCATTATCTCATTCAAATCAAGCAAGACAAAATCCAATTCAGCACACAAAGAACAAAAAAAATCAAAACCATGGCAGATCATGAAATTAGAAAATATAATTAAAATACGTTGTAAAATGACGAAGAAAATCCACCCTCCTGAAAATTTAAACATTTGATAACCAGCATTCCTCTATTAAAAGCTATAGAAAATTGTGAAAACAGAAAGAATTCAGAAAATCAAGCATGCTCAAAATCCACACTTTTTTTACATCAAAAACTTAAAAAAAAAACTTTCTTAAATTCAAAAAAATAAACCCAATTAGAAAATAAATCAATATTCGTACAGGAAAGTTAAAATCAGAAAACCTCATAACCAAATGATGACCCATGTCAAACTAATCAACCAACTACTCCAAAATCACATTTTGGCATAAAAAACTCAACAAAAAACCCCATATTTAATTTAAAAACTTAAAAAAAAACAACACATACTCTTCAAATTCTGGAACAAACAATCGGCAATATACCGCGAGGTCTCAGGCCCGCCATGGCCATCATAAACCCCAACAAAAGTCCCACAACACAAGCTCCCCGATCTCGAGCTCTCCACGCTCAACGCCCCTGATTCGATCTGGCTCGAATCTTCAAGCAAATTGTTCGCCTGCACAACCGCCATCGAGAACTCTCCCGCCACGTGGCGCCCTAGATCCTTGTACCAAAGCAATCCATCGGTCCTCGATCCGTCGTCGCCGGCGACGTCGAAGGCCGACGAGGGTCTCCAGCAAGGGCTCATGATCTTCATTATAGGGGAATAGTAAGGATTGAGCATTCAGTCATTGAAATTGAGGAGTTAGGTTTAGGGTTGGGCATGAATTTGGGGAGAAAAGGTGTGATTTTTATGAGATTTGGGGATTTAGGGGTTTCGAATTTTTTTTTTTTTTAATTTGATGATTATTTTTTTCTTTTGTTTGGAGAGAGCGAGGGAGAAGGGAGAAGAGTGCGGGTCCGCGATTTTTGCGCTTTGGTTTGTTATTTAAAAGGTTCGGGGAATTTGTTTGGTTGCTTCCTCCGACCTTCCATCTTTTTTTTTCTTCTAAATTTCTCCCGTTATTTGCATATATACCCCTTCAATGATGGACATTTGCAAAACTACCCTTCATATCTGAATATTTACAAGACCACCTCTGATATCATCAATTTTGGAAAATATACACTCAAAGCACTTGATCATCAAATTTTATAAGCTAATTTATATTCACAATATAAAAATTATCAATCAAATAGTTAAATTTTTAGCATCAAGCTGATGATTTGTTGATTTTAGGGGTAGTTTTGTCACAAAGTTGCTGTTTGAGGAGTAGCTTTGCAAATACTAAGATTTAGAGTGTATTTTTGTAAATATCCATGATTTAAAAACAACCCTTTTATCTCTTAAAAAATTGAAAATAAAAATAAATATATACTTTAGAATTTTTTGCCCTTTTTGCATGTATAGCTCTCAATTCTATCATATCTGTCACTTCCAAGTTTCAATTTTTTCTTGCATGTATACCTCTCAATTGTATCATATTATTCAATTCAAGTTCAAATGTAAGTATTTGCAAATTAATCCTGCAAATCACCATATGGGTTTTTTTGCCTTGTAAATTTTTAAATGTAAATAATACACTTTTGATTAATTTAGTTAATTTATGAATTTATATGTTAGATAGAGAATGAGATAAATATAGAGGATATTCTTAAATTATTTACATTTCCCAGTCACCTAGCCTCTCCCTCTTTCTCTTCCAGTATCTTTAATTAGGATTATGGATATATCAAAGGTACTTTATTAAATATCTAACTTTGGAAGTAGATTTGCAAATATGATAGATTGAAGGCATGTATGCAAAAGACCAAAACCTTGGCTTTCTTTCATGTGAGACACTAATTCTAGGGAAAAGTGCTTCTAGGCCCCAAATTTGAATTTTCAATGTGTCCCAACCCCTCCTATTTTTTTTAATGTGCTTTAGCCCCTTTTTTTGAAAAAAAAAATATGCTCAAGGCCCTCCATCATGATTCCAACTCATGCCAGCAGTTGATTAGACATGTCAGCTCATGATGAGACATGTTAGCTGGCTTAAATCCCAAATTTACCCTATTCTTTTTCATGCTAGCGGATGTTAACTCTTACAACTAATATGTTAACTCTTATAGATAACATGTTAACTCTTACAGATAACATGTTAACTCTTACAGCTAGCATGTTAACTCTTACAGGTAACATGTTAATTCTAAGAGTTAACATGTTAACTCTTACTAATGTGCCCACGCGAAGTTCCTCCGGACGGCGCAAGCGGCGGAACAGGGGAGGGGGCAGAGGGGGACCGAAGGAGGAGGATGGAGGTGTAGGGGGAGGTGCAGTCACGTCAGAAAAGGCAGGATCTCGAGAGGAAGAAAGAACAGATCTGAGATCTACACGAAGTCACACTCCGGATCTGAGCTTGGTCTTAGATCCCGAGATCCGAACGATTATTTCCTTGGTGATCTAATCCCTCCCGGCTATTATTCCCTTCGTGGAATAATACCCGTATAATCGTGTAGATCCGACCGGATCTAGATCGCGCGGTGGTCCACGGATACACCCCGGCGCAGGCGAAGAACCCACACAAGCGAGCGACCGCAAAACAGGAGCTCGCGATTTGTTCACAAAAGGAAAGTTGTAATTTTTCTTATTTTTCCTTGATTTAGTTGTAACCGGATCTAAAAAAGACCGGATCTTTTGTAACCCAAGATGACAATTATCTCAATGAATAAGAAAACAGTTTTCCACGCGAACAATCTGGCGCCCACAGTGGGAGCCACCGATCTCGCTGCCGAGATCGGAGCGTCCCAGCCGCGGATCGAGATCCCGGTCATGGAGGAGGTTGAGTATGAGTTCGACCAGCAGAAGTACGAGGAGTACGTGTCCTCGTCTGGATCAACCTCCCCCCGCTCATATCTATCTTATATCATTCTTGCAAGAGCAAATTAATCAATATAATTTTAATTGGAAGTTAATCAGGATTAGATTAGTATAAGACCCTAATCACCCCACCCTCTAGGGTCTAACAGTAACAATCAAATGTAACTCCTCCAGAGATTGATGTAGGAAATCGGCATAGACATGACACGCATAACATCATTTAGCATATGCTACCGCATCTGCTATCATTGTCGGCCACTAGTAACCTAGACAACAAAGTCATTCCTAGAGTTCGGGACCTGGTTAACAAGCTCCACATGCACCGTCATTGGCTTGCTTTAATGCTTCTTGAGCTTCACTTGGTAATAAGCATTGGAGCAACATATTGTCGAAAGACTATCGGTATAACGTTTACGTAGCAAAATCATAGAAGAAGAATGGAGCCCTTCTTTGAATAAAGACTGCTTGCTTCGGACAATCAGTTAGCATCCTATGCAAGACGTAATCAATGATTTAGAACCACTAATTGTTGTCTAAAAAAGTGAGTTGGTATGACAAGCACTTCATTTGCTTCAAGAAATAACTATGGGGAGCATAATTGATGGCTAACCAATGTGATGGGCTTAGTTGATTTGGGCGCCCAGGCAAGTGTAGCTGTAAGGGATGCCAAAGAGTTTGCATGAGTGTTCTCGAGGCAAGTTACATAGCAGATATAGAAACCTTCGAATGATTGAGCAAGCTTTGCCTCCGCTTTATGGTAATATGTGGTCGTTGTGCATAACCTCATATTCTCCTTTGATGTGATTCACAATTAGCTTGGAATCACCGTGAGCTTCAAGATATTTGACACCCATGTCTTGAGTGAGTTATAGGCCGATTACAAGGGCATTATACTCAGCTACATTATTGGAGCATGGCTCGGTCAATGAGTAGGTCGGAGGAAGAACATGTCCATGAGGATCAATCAGCACTACCCAAACTCCTGTGATAATTTCTCCTTTATGGTTTCATCGTGATGTGCTGTTGAAGTATAGTTGCCATGTTTGATGGTCTGTAGTAGTATTTGACTCAAAGACTACATTTAGGATGTCTTCATAGAGTTTAGAAGACTCAGGGATGGGATGCTCTGCCAGAAAGTCGACCACTGCTTGACCCTTGACTGTTTTCTGCAGTACGAACGACATGTCATACTGTGAGAACTGTAATGCTCATTTTGCTAACCTAAAATTTAGTGATCTAGATTTCATCATGAGTATACATAGAGGATTAATGCTAAGCATTTCTTTTTACTGAATTGTAGTGATGTTCGACACCAATCATAGTCCAGTTGAGGTAATAAATAGCTTGCTTGTGTCCATTTTCAATCTTCTAAGCAAGAAGTGCTCCAAGAGAGTGGTTCATTACTCTAACATAGATCAGAAAAGTTTAGTCCCAGATGAATGAAACACCTTTCTTCATGAATCTTTAAAATAGTTGATATTTTTCAGACAAGTTGGTGATAAACCTAAGGATATAGGCTAATCGTCATTGTGGACCTCTGAGTTCTTTGAGATTCCTTAGAGGTGACATCTCTTGGATGACTTTCCACTTTTTCAAGGTCGACATGTAATCCTTTGGATGTTACAATAAATTCTAGAAATTTTCCTGATGAATCCTCTAGGAAAGATTTAGTTGAGTTCATCTTGAGTTGATGCTTTCACATGATTTTGAACATCTTTCTCAAATTACAAACATGATCTTCTTTGTGGTGAATTTTAATTTCAAGGTCATTGGTGTATCACTCTACTGTTTTGTGTAAATTATCATAAAAGATCATGTTCATAGCAGTTTGTAAGTAGCTTCAGCATTCTTCAAACTGAAGGGCATTACTATATAGCAGAATACTCCTGAGAGCGTTCAGAACGCTAGGTGCTTTTGATCGTCTGGATGTATTTTGATTTGATTGTATCCAGAAAACCCATCCATGAATTATATCCTCTCAAATCTGTATGTGTTGTAAACCATGACATCCTTGATAGGGTGAGAAAATTCATTTTTCGGACAATCAAAGTTTAGATTCTATAAATCAATGTAGATTCTGATCTTGCCACTCTTCTTTATCACCACCATAATGTTGGCTAGCTAATCGGGATGCTGTTCTTCACCGTATTCAACGAGTTTATAGATTTCCTTCTTAATCTGTTTCATCAACTCAGGATGGAAGCGTCATTGTTGTTGCTTGACCGGTTTAATGCTACGGTTAATGTCAAGGTGATGCACAGCCACGTTAGGGTCTAAATCTGTCATGTCATTGTAGCTCCAGGCGAAGACATCAATGTATTCTTGAAGGAGAACTATGAGTTCTTCTTTTTCAGTGGATGATAGACTTTCACTGATGAAGATGGGCTTAGGGTTGATTTCATCGCCTATGTTGATTTGAACCACTTTATCTTCTGTGATTGATTCTCTACCTTCGAAACATTACTCTCATTGCTTCTCAAGTTGCTTTGTCCATGAATCATCTTCAAGGCCTTCGAATACTATGGATTCATTGAGATCCATGATTAGGTCGTATGAGTTCATGTTGTCTATGAATTTACTACTCAAGACTCCAAGGCTAACATCAGAATTCTAATTCGACGTGTCTGAAGAACTGCTTAGAAAGTCATCAAATGTTGGTCCTGTTTATGACTCGGTTTCAGGAGAAATATAATAGAGCCCTTGTTTGGTTCAATTTTAATAATTGAGATTTTCATCTTCTGGTGTGAAGGGCATCAAAGGGACTCTTAGTTCTCTATTGAAATTAACAAATAAACAAAGGATGGAGATTGCTTCTATCTTCAAGTACTAACTTGGTTATGAAGAAATTACAACTTCTACCGGTTTATCAAAACATTACGAAGAATATTGAGATCGCCATTAATTAACCCTATTATCAAGAAATTCAAACAATTCCAGACTCAAAACGGTCTGTCGGATTCTTTTTCGTGTGCCGGTAGAGCATCGATCTGGTACTCCGTTGATATGCCAAGTAAGATGATGGGTCTTTTGCTATTGATGAGGATTAGAATGCTTGGAAGGTTGCTCAGTCTTCTCTTAGCAACGTCTCTTAA